GATCCGCCGACCTTGCAGTTCAAAAGGCCCTGGAGTGTGGCACCTCAACCCACAGTACTGTGCCGGGACTCCTCTCAAACCAGTGGGCAGACCACATAGGACGCACATCTGCTTCTCCTGTATAGGGTTTCCGAGGAGCGACTGGTGAGCTTGAACCACCGACCTTGCAGTTCACAACAATTTGCAGTGCGGTGCCTCAACCCACTACGCTACGCCAGGACCCATCTCAACCCAGTGTAAAAAGGCCGACCAAATCCGCGTTTCAGCTCGGGCTGAGTGTGTGAGTTCCTGGCAGAGGAAACCGCCAGTGGTGAAGGTGGGTCTTGGCCACTCGGCTAAGCCCCCACCTCTATTCACCCGACTGTAGGTGGGCAAACCGTGAGCACACCTATTACCCAACACCAAAGAAAAAAATAAAATCGGAACCACACAAAATTGGCAAAGTATACTTTCCAAGGTTCACGCGGCGTGTTTCCGCGGCATCTCTGAGGCCCTCTTTGCGGCCCCGATTTCGTCCCACCACTTGGATTCACCCAGGATGTGGGCTCAGGCCTCTGAGCCTGGCTGGCAGATTCAAAAGTATGTGATTTCCCGCCTCAAAAGAATTTGCAGTGCGGTGCCTCAACCCACTATGCTAAGCCAGGACCCCTCTCAATCCAGCGTAAAAAGGGCCGACCAAATCCGCTTCTCAGCTTGGGCTGAGTGTGTGAGTTCCTGGCAGAGGAAACCGCCAGCGGTGAGGGTGGGTCCTGGCCACTCGGCTAAGCCCCCATCTCTATTCACCTGACTGTAGGTGGGCAAACCGTGACCGCCCCTATTACCCAACACCAAAGAAAAAAATAAAATCGGAACCACACAAAATCGGCAAAGTATACTTTCCAAGGTTTCCGCAGCGTATTTCCATGGCGTCTCTGCGGCCCTCTCTATTATCCATGTATCTTTAACCTAACAATTTCACTGCTGGAAGCATGACCTATAGATAGGTGTAGTCACAGAAGTATTCACAGACATATACAAAGTTGTTTACTTTAGCATTTCTCACAACAGGTAAAACCACAAACAACTTAAAGTCCATGTAAGTTGGGCATACTTTATGGCAATGTAATGCCAATATTTAAAAAGTCTTTTTAAATGATTAGTCAAAAAAGTTCTCTCTCTCTCTCTCTCTCTCTCTCTCTCTCTCTCTCTCTCTCTCTCTCTCTCTATATATATATATATATACATACACATACATACATACACACATACAGATTGCTGTTGTGAAGTGCCATCAAGTCGATTCTGACCCATAGTGACCCTGTATAGGATTTCCAAGGAACAACTGGTGAGCTTGAATCACTGACTTTGCAGTTTAAACTTTGCAGTCCGACACATTAGCCCACAGTGCCACACCAGGACTCCATATATATACAGATACATATATATATATTCCAACTCATAGTGACCCTCTATAGGGTTTCCAAGGAGCGGCTGGTGAGCTTGAACCACCAACCTTGTTCAAACCGACCTTGCAGCCCAGTGCATTAACGTGCAGCACCATATTAGGACTCCATATACATATGTGGTGCATATATATTGTTAAGTGCCATTGAGTCGGTTCCCACTCATAGAGAATCTGTTTATGGTTTTCTGAGGAGCTACTACTGGTAACTTTGAACCACTGACCTTCTGGTTCAAACAGACCTTTCAGTCCTGAACTTATTCTACAGCAGTGCTGTAGGATCAGTATTGTACTGCTACCTGCAAGGCTGGCAGTTCAAACTCATCAACCATTCCTCAGAAACCCTATATAGGGTTCCTATGAGTCAGATCTGACTTGACAGCGTTAACAACAACATGCGCGTTAAAGGATAGAACTGAAAACAGCAAGTTGCAGTTATCAATAGCTATATGTATGAAAGGGTTTTTCTTTGCTGTATTGCATGAAAAATTTCTGAGAGAATATATAATAAACTGAGGAGCACAGAGGCTCTGTCAGATAAGCACTGGACTATGAATCAAAAGGTTGGTGGTTCGAGCCCACCAGCTGCTTCTTGGGAGAAAGAGGAGGGTTTTTGCTCCCACAAGATTTACATCCTCAGAAACCCTATGGGTCGTTATGAGTCAGAACCAATTCGAATGTACTTAACCACAACATATAAGAAACTATTAGCAGGCATTACTTTGGGGGAGTAGGACTAGGATAATCTAAGACCAATTTTGTTTCTTTGTTTTGACCCATGTGCTTTATGTTGAAAACATATTAGACAAGTGACAATATACTTCTTGCCTGGTGCATGAGGACAAGATATGGGGGGAGAGCTCTTCAGCCTACCTGCCCGGCTCCTTCTTGTCCGACGACCCCGGCGGACACTGGGGTACCGTGTGGCAACACGTCGGTATCTCTGGGTGGGTGTTAGACGCTCCTCTGAAACAACAAACCCAATGGGGATCGTAAAGGAGAGCGATGGACTTTGACCTACCCCTCCTCCTGAGGTTAACAGCTAGAAAGGGGAAGCCTTGGACTGTGCTCCCAGACATGGAATGACAGTCCAGGATTGTGGCCCTGATGCTATGAGTGGGGTGACTCCCAGGCCCTGCTAGCTTTCTCCCTCCCCAATGTCTACAATCCACCAGCTCTGGGGATGGTGCTCCCTCTCTCACCTGAGTGCTGGTTGCTTGTCACCACCTTGTATCTCCATTGGGCCTCAGAGAGAACCTTGGAAAACCGGTGCAGGCGGCTCGGCAGCCCATCTCTGCTTCCAGGGCAGCTCAGGCCTTCAGGCAGCTTTGGTTTCTCTGGGTGGTTGTGGCTGCTGATCTCATCCAGCTGCACCTGGAGAAGCCTGAGGAAGGCCCCCATTGAAAGTTCATCAGCCAGGAATCCATTGACACCACTAGTAAAGTGCATTAGGTCCAAAAAGCTGTGTCTGTGAGGCCCTGCATTGTCTTTTGGCTCTGCCTTCGGACAGCTGGGAAGAGTACAGGTAGGGCTCCTGGGGACTCTCAGAAAGCCCCGTTCTGACTTCCTCTCGGGCTGAGCTATGTGCTGAGGGCTCTCTGATGGGGATGTCAAACCCAAGGAATCTTTCCCCTCAATGTCGTCATCCTCAGCATAGTCCTCAGGCAGCTGAGGCTCTGCATGAAGATCGGCTGAGGTGGTAAGGAGCAAGGAGAAGATGTTTTCCAGAACTTCCAGGCACAATGAGTCAGGAATCCTGCAGAGATACTGTTGACACCTAGCCAGGTATGCTGAGAAGAGAGCTGAAGGACCTGAAGAAGCATGCATCAGCCAAGAGGCAGAGAAGGAATAAAGGAGAGAGAATGCAAACATTAATAACATTCCTTGCCAGACTCAGACATTCTCAACACTGCAACTCATTAGTATTTTATGACTAAGGGGCCTGGGATTACAGTCAGAAGATTGAGAGAGACTGGAACCCCGGAAAGGCACAGCCATATCTCTTTGAAGAAAACTTTCACTACCTTAACTAAAAGTATAGCGGACTGAACACTCAATATTTGTCTCAACTTGTTTAATATTACATTATTCTTCTTCTCTGACAAGTATTCCATCTTTCAGTTCCTTGAATGAAAGTAACATGGAAATTCCTTACCCCTCAATTCTATTTTCACTCCTTGATACTCTAAAGCTTACCACTGGCTCCTGAGATCTCTTAAGATATATGCACCAGGTGAAACATGACCAGGCCCAGAGGCAAAGGTCAATTTCAAAGTCAGAATGGAGAGATAACTGACCGCTAGTCCTGGTATGGTGGTGCTGTAGGACAAGCACTGGACTACTAACCACAAGGTTGGTGATTCACACCCTCATACCCAGGATCACTATAAGTTGGAATCTACTTGATGGCACAAACAACAACAGTCACAAAGACAAGTTATGGAATTACAAGTTACTGAGAAAAATGAGGGAAAATTCAACATTAGGTTGGTATATTTCACATTATGAGCTGGGACTCATAGAAATGATTTAATAAAATGAAATAAGACAGAAAAATTATCAAGAGTAAGCTCCATTTGGCAAGGCAAGTTTGTTTTGCAAAACTTAATTTTAGTTTATGTATCAAGTGGGGTCCTGGTGTGGTGCTGTGGGTTTATGTGATGGACTGCATTAGTAGGTTTGAACAGACTGCTCACCAGTCGCTTCTTGAAAACCCTTTACAGGGTCACTATGGGTCAGAACTGACTTGATGGCACTTAACAACAAGGAAGACCACAGAAATGATGCGTTTGAGTTATATTAAAAGTACCATGGACTGCCAAAAGAACAAACTAAACTGTGTTGGAAGAAAGTATGGCCACAATGCTACTTAGAAGCCAGGATGGCGAGACTTTTTCTCTTAAGCTTTGGACATGGTATCAGGAGGGAACAGTCCCTGGGGAGGGACATTATGCTTGATAAAGTGAAGGGTCAGCCAAAATGAGGAAAATCCCCAATGCGATGGACTGGCGCAGTGGCAGCAGCAATGGGCTGAAGCGTAGCAACAATTGTGAGGATGGTGCAGGACCGGACAGCATTTCTTTCTGTTGTGCCTAAGGTTGCTATGAGCTGGAACTGACTTGATGGCACCTAACAACAACAACAATAATAAAATCAAGCTCATCTTGAATCCTGGTGGAGAGGTTTAACGACTCCCTGGGATAGGTTGTTACCAAGGAGCTTACCTGGGGAGGAGGGCATGTCCTTCCCTGGCTCCGTGGCTGAGGCCAGGTCCTCAGAGGGGCCCTCTCTGCAATCCTGGTACTGGGAGTGCTGGTGTGAATTCACACAGAGGGCATAGATGGCATACTTCATGGCACAGAAGCCCTGGTAGAGTGTCAGGCTCTGACTGTGGCTCAGGTGGTCAGGGACCAGGGCATCATCAGTTGAATCTGAATTGTAGAGAGAAACAGGCTGAACTTCAGAGATGGTTCTTCCAGGCATGGGCTGCAAGTACAGTGGAAGCAAGACATGCTGCTCTTGTGGGCACACTACGTGTTCTAATCTTCTCTCCCGTCTGTCGGTTTGATATGCATTCCTCCCCTTCTAGGCTTTTCCTGTGGCCAACGTCAACTTTCAGTTTTCTTCACTACTTTCCCCTCTCTCTCATGTTTACTCAACATAAGCCCCGTGTTTATGCAATAAGTCATTTCCTTATTATGGGGTTAACTTTACCAGAGAATTTGGTCTTTGTCCTTGGTTCCTAAAAGATCACCTCTAAAACCTTGGAATTCATCCAGTGATGGAAGTGGCTTTGAGAAGGTCCCAGACCATACTTGAAGGTTTATGCTAATGAGGTGACTCAGGTGGGAGTTGGCTAGGACAGAAACATTCACCAGTGATGTCAGATTTCAGCAATGTGGGCAGGGGGATGGGAACAGAATTACATCAATCACAACTACCTAAGGTGGTGGTGGCTATGTACTGGGGAGTTGGTTCCGACTCATGGTGACCCTGTACAGGGTTTCTGAGGCTATAAATCTTTACAGGAGCAGAACGCCTCATCTTTCTCCCACGGAACAGCTGGTAGTTTCGAACTGCTGACCTTGCGGTTCGCAGCCCGATTCATAGCCACTATCAAGGCTCTGGACATGGAAGCTCCATGAGCTCCTTGGCTGGTCAAAGACGTAACATACATGGGATAGTAGCACACTCCTTTCTGGGACATGGAAGCTCCGTATTGGGAACCCTCCCAGACTCTCTGCAGCTTTCATCTGTATCCTTTTAGATATAATAAAGCCATCATAATAATAATTACAACAGCACTTTTCCATGACTTCTGTGAGCCATTCTAGCAAATCATGAAACCCAAGGTATAATGGGAGTAAGTAGGCAATAAAGAGGGAGGCTGAAAAGCCCTAAGCTTATGGCTAGTATCCTGAGGGGATAAGAAGGAACTTCCAAATATGTAGCCAGCAGGCAGAGGAGGATGCCATGGGGACATCCAAGTTTGTGGCTGGCCGCTGATGTCCTGAGCAGACGTGGCCGTCTGGAAGACTGGCCGCATGAGGTCTAACTTAGCTCTCGTGGTTTGAGTCAGAGGAAGAAGCGCTGTATGTGTGGCTGGCGTCAGAACAGAAGAGGCAGAGAAGTGAGAGTGGTTTGCCTTCTCCTCTCATTTATATTCCTTAAAATATACTTTAATTTTTCAAAACTTAAAACTCGCACTATCCAGTGCTAGACTATGTAAAAAAGTAACAAGGGAGCAAAGACACTGAAAAGTGATTTCTGATGAAATATTTGGTATTTTTACTGAAGCCAACATTAAGGGCAGACATACAAATTCTTTATACTTGTTTTATAACTTATACTTTTTCGATTTTTTGGGCCATTTTGACTTTTTCGTAGGGAGGGCAGCATCATCTCAACACTGCACAGGTTTTCTAAAGATCTTAATCTGGCACTAATTCATTTCATAACCCAAATTACCACCTACTCATTAAAGAAAAACATTAACCATAGTAAAGCAAAAAGATGGGAGAAAAAAATCACCCATAATCCCACCAGTTACACAAAACCACTGTTAGATTCTGGTTTATTGCCTTCCATAGTTTTGTGTATTTGTGTGTGCTCAGCTTGAACATAATGACATTTTATACACAACTGAATTTTCCTATTTCTTAAAAATCCATGCAAGTCTATACAATTCATTATATAACCAGCTGCTTACGGAAAACCAGATTCCCTGTTGCAGGCCTCTGGCAGTAGTTAACAAGACGTTTTGCTATTATCATGTTGTAATGAACTTGTTTCTGCTTAAGACTTCCTAATTGTTGCTTCTTCCAGGAAGCTCAGTCTTACCAAGGTAAATAAATGGAGCACGATCAATACTCTTCTATGCCCCTGACCTTTACCTGGCTTCACTGCCCAGGCCAGGACTTGCAAGTGCTTACACACTTCTGAGAGCACAGGGTTCCTTTCATTTTGCACCCTACCAGCCTCTCTTGGTTCACTCTAGTCCCAGGTCTAAGACTCCTCTACTTTTGCCTTTTCAAAGCTCATGTTCTAAATGTGTCTAAATTGATCAACAGGGGTCAGATTTTAAATGAATTTCTAGAAGTATTTGAGACTTGTGACTTGAGTTTTAGTTCCCCTAGGAAAACTATCAAACAAGCTGCCTATCTTTCCAGAAAAAGATATGGAATTTAGTTAACATTGGCTTTCCAATTAATGGTAGGTCCTTTTTAAATGTAAATCAAAGCAACACCCAGCCTGAGAAGCCCTTGCTGCCATGTGACAAAGTTTGCTTCTTCCAAAGGCAAGCGTCTCTCACCTGTGTGGCAAGGCTGTGAATAAATTATGATACAATTAAAAAAAAAAAAAGATACAGTTTTGAGAGCAAAAAGATAGAGCCTATTAATGTGTTCCTGAATTAAAGGTAAACAAGCCTTTCATAATCTTTCATGCAAAGCTTTCTTCTAAATTTCTCTCTCTGTTTAATGGCACATGAACAGATAGGGAGGTGGGGAAGAAGGCATAAATGTGAAGCAAGGAGAGACTTACCAAGAATTTCCTTAAACACCAGCAGGGGCCATGCTGTGAATTCGAGACACAGCCTAATTCTCTTGCATTGGAAACAGTGTATGTTAGTGGTTCCTGAGATGGTTCCAAGAGGACAAAGGAGGAAGAATTGTGCTCATGTGATTTCCTACAAGTCACCAAGAAGAAGGAGCCATGGTCCTCGATCCCATAATTTGGGTGGGGTCAAGAGTGCTAATAAACAGAACAACTACTGACTACCATCTTGATATATTCTAGAAATTGCATCTAGATAAATCTTAAGATGGAAAAAACACGGGCAAGATTGTTCTATCAGGGAATTCTGCCCAAGTCACTCCATCACCAACTCACCATCTTCTCGTTGGGGGTCCCTGGCTGGTCCCTTCTGTAGGAGCTTGAGAACATCTTCCTCCCTGAGGGCTGGAAGGTTTGTGAGATGATGGAGAGAGTAGAGCACTGAGTGGCTGTCTCCGCCATGTAAATGACACAAGAGATCTCTCTTTGGTATGGAGTTGCTGAAAAGTAAAGTTGAGAGGATGGAGGGGGGTGGTTGATATTATTACCCTGAGAAACCAATCTCCAGTCTCTCTGGTTCTTTCTTTTTATAGATTTCATATCCCCAAAGATTTTGGTTTACATTTCAGTTAGCCTGGGATGGAACACAGTCTCTATTTACTTCAGAGAAGTACACCCATAAACTTATAAACTTATCTCTGCCTGTCTACAAAGGACCGAGAAAGGGCCTGCTGATGAAGCTTCCTAATTTCTACAGTCTTTTCTAGCTTACAGCATATAGAATCTTCTCTAGTTTTACTTGAAGTAACTTCAAGTTCCCATATCCACTTGACTTCCGGAAATAATGGGGAGATGAGTGAGGAACAAAATAACAACCCAGGTCTATGGAAGACCCTAGATCTAAGGCTATTTATCAGTGAGACCCAGGCCTGACACACTTTCCAATAAGCATTTGTTGACTGGATATGTGATCCCGGATAACATATGGCTAAGAATGTGGAGACCACATTTACTAACTGTGTCACTTAGGGCAACTTATTAAACATCTCTGGTTCCAGTTGCCCCACTTTCAAAATGAGGATACTCTGAGGGTTCAGTGAAGGCATCTGAGTAAAGGGCTTAGTACAATTATCAGGCAGATAAAAGTGATCAGGAAATGTGAGCTATTTTTTTCTTTAGCCTTGTCATCTTTTGGGGGGCTCCTCTAGTTATAACCTCATGGCTGACGACTCCTGGTGTGGTGCTATGGCATCAGCACTGGACTATGAGTCATAAGGTTGGTGATTCAAACCAACCAGCTGTTCCCCGGAAACCTTATATGGGGTCGCTATGAGTCGGAACTGACTTGATGGCACTTAACAATAACAATGTGGTGAAGCCAATCATTACTTGCATTTCTTTCCATCATTTAAAAGTGGAATAATTATTAGCTGTTGGTTAATGTTGTCAGTCCAAAACATTTCAGTGAAAAGAGGTCTTGCCACACCGCAGAATGGAGTCCAACTGAAACCTGGCCCAGGACTAAAGGGAGTGGGCTGCATGGGACGTTACCTGCTGTGCTGTGCACACCACTCCAGGACCTCCAGGTGAGCCCACAAGCCATCACAGGCATCCCTGAGGAGCTTATCACAATCTCGACCCTGTGTTGACAAAGGAGAAGAGGGAGATGCTCGCTCAGATCCACCTCAGGACCTTGTCTTTTGCCGATGCTCAGAACCTCTCGACGCGTCTTTCTGGAGCAGCACAGGCTGAGGAGTGAGTTACCTGGGTCTGGTGGAGGGTTTGGAGAAGGTTCTTAGCTGACTGCAGGCTCTGGCAGTGCGTCCAGCCGAGAAGCACGAGCAGTTGACTGAGGGGCTTGAATTCTCTGTCTAGTAGGCAGCCAAGACTTGGGAAGTCTTCCTCTTTCAGAAGTGTCAGTGCTGTTACCTGTAAGCCAGAGACGGTTGCTATAGGCAGTGGGGTGGACTAGAAAGAGGGAAATCCATCTTGTTGCCCACTGGGGTAACTAGCTCTCTAGTTCAGCAGGGAAGTTCTGACCGTGACAGGAGTGGTCAGTTGAGTGAAAGAAATGTTCATGAAAACACTAGAGAGTAAGCTCCTTGAAAGCAGGGCCTGGCTTCTGCTGAAACCCCAGCTCCTAGCACACAGATGAGATCAACAAGCATCTGCTAAATTAAACTGAAGCTCAGTCATAACCTGGGAAAGAGAAAGGTTGTATTAATTATTCCCCTTTCAGCATCTGGCTGCCACTGTCTTTTCTTCCATACCCCCTCCGGAAAGCTTACTCATATTCCACATTGGAAATCCTGTTACAGGACCCACATGTATTCTCTGCATCACACTGCTTCTCAGAGTTTTCTTTCTCCAGCGAGTGGGGAACAGACATAACCAAGGACTCACCACTGATTAGACGTCTTTGGGTTGGACAACTGAGTGGGATAGAAACGAGGAAATGAGAGACTTGCTGGGCACTCTGTGGGAGAGAATACCGAAGCTTGCCTTACCAGGATCTGCTCGAGGAAGTGCTTGCTGTTGCTCAGGCAATAGAAATAGGTCACTTTCCAAGCCTGGGCTGGGTCGGGGTTGGAGAACAGAGTTAGCATTGCCCGCTCAGGATCCAGATGGTCCAGTGAGACTGAAAATCAAACCAGGTAGGGTCACTGGTAAACCAGGAATTCTTTCCTAAGCTTTCTGTTGTGAAGTGCCACAAAGCCGGCTCTGACTCATAGTGACCCTGCATAGGGTTTCCAAGGCTCTAGACCCTGTGGCTGGTGGGCTTGAATCGCCAACCTGGTTTACAGTCTAGTACTTATCTTACAGAACCACCATGCTCCCTTTCTTAAGTTAGAAGCCATTAAAATAAATAAAATACATATATGTGTGCGTGTATATATACATAGATATATGAGTTTGTGCTTTAAAACACCTACACTAGGTTTTCTATACTTCTATTTTGAAGATCTTTGTTTCACTTAGTAGCTTCTGGACAGCTCTTTCTTGCTATTGTTATTACATTAACTTTTCCCCCCATCACCTCCATCTTTGCGCAAACAGTTAAGTTCTGGACTAGCAATGAAAAGTGGGTGGTTTGAATTCATCTAAAGGCACCTTGGAAGACAGGCCTAACAATGTGCTTCTGAAAGGTTACAGCTGAAACCCCTATGCTGCAGTTCTACTGTGTACACATGGGGTCACCATGAGTCAGAACCAATTAGATGGCAATAACAACAAACAACTTATACTATCAAAGCTGTGTTTTTACAAAAGAATACCTTAACCAGTTTTTTTTTTTAATTAAATGTTTTTATTTTGTATTGAGTGAAAGTTTACAGGGCACATCATCAGCTTCACATTCAACCATTCATATAGCTTGTTTCATTACATTGATTATTATCCCCTCCATATATCATCAGTTAACAGTGTTTCTCTCTATCCTCTTTAGCTTTTTTTTTTTTTTTTTTGGATGGGGGGGGACTTGGCTTATTGGAATTTACAGTCTCGGCTTTTAGGGGAGGTTTTTACATTTGTCTGTGGATATCCAGGGCTCACGAATGAGATTACTAACAAGCATTACTGAATAATCAGATGAGGGACAGTTTGTTATGTCTACTAGGTAGCTAGAGTCTGATCCTCAGAGCCTATGGTTTGGACGGTCAACAACGCTTGGGCCCACAGGGGCTTGGCCTCCTGACCGGGTCTGTGCTGTCTGCATCTGAGTCCTCCTTTTTTATTGATTGTTTAAGGGACGCTGCCTGTCTTAGGTGGTCAGTGCGAATTCCTCAGTCTTACCAGTCATTGAGACTCATTGCAGCATGGCAATGTCTCTGTCCCAAGTAGCCGAGGTTCCACGTGAACCTTACCCGTCTCTGGCCACACGTCCAGCATAAACAGCCGCCATCCGAGGAAGGCAGGGAGGGAGGAGATCAGCTGGGGACCCCATGCGCCCGACGTTGCCGGCCCACCACCTGCTCTAAGGTGACCAAGCAGGATCACTATGCTGAGGTTCAATCCAGTTCCTAGGGGATCTTATTCTCTAGCATGGGTAGCAAATGGGTAGCAGTGTTCACTTTGAGAATTACTTATATCATAAAATTGAGCGTGTAGCTGATGAATACCCCAGACAAGTGTATATTGTTCCACAACCTCCTAAAATGCTGTTGGATTAAGTTCCAATTAATTTCTGGGTTACTGAAAGATAACACAAATCTACTTATACCTTGAGTAACCTTAGCTGGGAGTGTAGTCTGGATATATTGGGTCTTATTTCCCTTAAGCGGTCTTCCTTTCTCTAAATCATTTAGCCTGTTTTGTGAGCCTTTGTCTATTTACTCTCAGATCATATGAGCGAGACTAATGTCCCTAGACATTTGATTTACATGATGGGCAGGGCAAAAAAAGGTAACAATTTCTGTTTGCGCAGTGATTCTTGACCTGAGAGCAAAGGCACATGGCACGTTTGCGGGTTAACCAGTTTTGTTTAGCCTTTGCTATTGGATTTTCTGGGCAACATGGAGGGCACAAGCCCAAAGAAATATCAGAGAGATTGGGAAAAGTGGAATTACCAAATGATAGATTCCCCACTATGGACTGAATTGTGTACCTCAACTCCCAAAGATGTACTGGAATTCTAACCCCTATACCTTTGTGTCATTGTTGGTAAGCACCGTTGAGCTGATTCCAACTCATAACAACCTTGCTTAGGGTTTCTGAGGAGTGGCTGGCTGATGGGTTTGAACTGTCAACCTCATGGTTAGCAGTGCTTATCTAACAGCACCATGTTAGAGTCCCTAACCTGTGTTGTTGTTGTTGATGTTAAGTGCCGCCGAGTTGGTTCTGACTCATAGCAACCCTGTACAGGGTTTCCAAAGAGCAGATGGTGAATTTGAACTACTGACTTTATGGTTCAAAGTCAGGTGCTGATCCTACAGTGCCATACCAGGAGTCTATGTTTAGATAACCCTATTTGGATATAAGGAGCTCTGGTAGTGTAGTGGTTACGAGTCGGACTGCTATCTTCCAGGTCAGCAGTTCAAAAACTACCAGCTGTTCTGTGGGAGAAAGATAAGGCTTTCTGCTCCTGTAAGGATTTATAGCCTCGGAAACCCTATGTCAGGTTACTATATGTTGGAACCGACTCCATGGCACACCACCACACTTGGATATAGGGGATTCTTTGTTATGCTAATGAGGCATGCTAATGTAGGATGTGGAAATTAGACAGGAATCACAAATGGGGGAAGAGAGATGGCATGTGAAGCTCACCAAGCTAAACGACAAGGCTCTAACCCTAAAGTCCACAGAGAGCATCTTCACCTATAGCCAGTACCCTGCATTTGAAATTCTATTCCCCTAAACTGGCAGAATCTCAACACCATCAGTCAAAACAAGGCCAGGGGCAGACCATGAAACAGACCATAAGATGCTCACATGCTTCAGGTTGAGCTGAAGAAAATGAAAACAAGTCCACAGAGCCAAAATATGACCTTGAACACACTACCTTGAATCTAGAAACCATTCCAAGAACAGATAGGATGCCTTAGACACTAATGACTGAAGACCAAAAGAGTTGTGTGATGAAGAAAGCAAAAGATCATTAAAAAGAAAGGAAAGAAAGAAGCAAAAAGTGGATGCCACAAAACACTCTGAAACTTACTCTTGAGTGTAGAAAAGCTAAAGCAATTGGAAGAAATGAGGAAGTAAAAGAACTGAACAGAAAATTTCAAAGGGTAGCTTGAGAAGACACAGACTAGTATTATAAAGAAATGTGCAAAGACCTGGAATTGGAAAATCAAAAGGGAAGAACACACTCAGCATTTTTCAAGCTCAAAGAACTGAAGAAAAAAATTCAAGCTTTGACTTGTCATATCAAATGATTCTATAAGCAAAAGAATGAGTGATATAGGAAGCATCAAAAGAAGATGGAAGGAATACATAGTCATCACTGTATCAAAAACTGGTTGTTGCTCAACCATTTCAATAGAGAGCATATGATCAGGAATTGATGGTGTTCGAGGAAGAAGTACAAGCTGCACAGAAGGCAGTGGCAAAACCCAAGGCTCCAGGAATTAATAGAATACAAATGGAAATCTTACAATTGAGGCAGCAATGGAGACTCTAGCTCATCTCCTGGCCAACCATATGGAAAAGATCCATATTTGTGTATATTCCAAAGAAAGGTGACCCAACGAAAAGCAAAAATCATCCAACAGTATCATTGATAGATATCATATGCAAGTAAAATTTTACTGAAGGTAAATTAAAAATTGTTGCAGCACAGTGAGCTGACACAGAGTCAAGCCAGATTCAAAAGAGGGTGTGGCATGAGGGATATCATTTCTGACATCAGATGGATCTTGGCTAAAAGCAGAGAATACTAGAAAGATATTTACTTGTGCTTTATTCACTATGCAAAGACTTTTGACTGTGTGGATCATAACAAACTCTGGGTAGCATTGCAAAAAACGGGTATTCCAGAATACTTAATTGTGCTCATGAAGAACCTGTACATAGACCACGAGGCAGTCCTTCAAAGAGAACGAGGGGATCCTGAATGGTTTAAAATCAGGAAAGGTGTGTGGTAGGATTATATCCTTTCATCATACTTATGCAATCTGCAGAGCAAATAATCTGAGAAGCTGGGTTATATGAAGAAGAACACGGCATCAGGATTGGAGGAAGACCCATCATCAATCTGTGATATGCAGGTGTTACAACTTTGCTTGCTGGAAGCAAAGAGAAGTTGAAGTACTTACTGATGAAGATCAAAGACTACAACATTCAGTATGAATTGTATCTCAATGTAAAGAAAATTAAAATCCTCACAACTGGTCCAATGAATAACATGATAAATTGAGAAAAGGCTGAAGTTGTCAAAGACTTTGTTTTGCTTGGCTCCATCATCAACACTCATGGAAGCAGCAGTCAACAAATTAAATGATGCACTGCATTAGGCAAATCTGCTACACAAGACCTCTTATCAGTGGTTCAAGAGCAAAGATATTAGTTTGAGGACTAAGGTGTGCCTGACCAAACCATAGTATTTTCAATAGCCTCATCTGCTTGTGAAAGTTGGACAGTGAATAAGGAGGACCGTAGAAGAATTGACACATTTGAATCATAGAGTTGGTGAAGAATATTGGAAATACCATGGACTGGCAGAAGAACAAACAAATCAGTCTTGGAAGAAAGATAGCAGAATGCTTCTTAGAAGCAAGGGTGGTAAGACTTCATCTCTTGTTCTTTGGACATGTTGTCAGGAAGGACCAGTCCCCTGGGGAAGGACCAGTCCCCTGGAGAAGGACATCATGCTTGGTAAAAGTGGAGAGTCAGCAAAAAAAAAGGAAGACCCCTAATGAGATGGATTGACACAGTGGAAGCAGCAACGGGCTTCAATTGTGATGATGGCGCAGAACTGCGTAGTGTTTGGTACTGCTGTGTACAGGGTTGCTATGATTCAGAGCCAGCTCAGTGGCACCTAAACAACAACAACAACAACGTATGAGGAAATTAATTTCTGTTCTTGAAAGCTACCACTTGTGACATTTATTACAGCAGCATCAAGAAAGTAAGACGCCCCCTAAATGAATGGAAAAGAGGGAGAAGGAACACACCTTTTCCTGAAGCTGTGGCCCCCAGTGGCTTTTCTGTGACCTTTTCTGCATAGGTATGGCCATACAGGGAGAGCAGGCCTCGTCCAGCCTTGTGCAGCAGGCAGCCGAGCAAGCGCTCCTCCTGAAGGGGGCTCCCCTCAGTCCTGCAGACTTCCACCAGGTCCTCACACAGCAGGCGTAATTCAACCCCGAGGGGCTCTGAAGAGCATCGCAGAGCCCGCAAGGCTCCGTAGATGGCTTCTGCCTCCCCAGGGCAGCCAGCATCAGGACCCTGCAAAGTCTTCAGTGCCTTGTGGACGAGGTCCACCAGTGCTTTCTGCAGAGGCCAGCCACAAAGGCCAGTGATGTCTTCCTCTCTAAGCAGGAGCTCCAGCAAGGCCTGAGCTGGCTGGGGAGCCCGCCTCAGAAGATCCCAGAGCACAGAGACAGCTTTGGCACTGAGCCGAGGGGACGAGCTCTCCCACCTCTTATTTCCACCAGGCACAAGGTCTACTGCTTCTTGAGCTAAGACCTCATGGAACTCCTAAATAGTGGGTGAAGAGAGGGATGGTGGTGAGCACATCTAGTATGTTAGCACTTGGATGCCTGGATGCATTCTTTTTATTTCAGCCTACGTACATTAATAGTAACAGTTACAAACACTTCCTATAGTAGTGACTATATGCTAGGCACTGTTGTGGGCTATTGGCACAGAAAATTTCAACGATTTACTAATATAACCTTAAGAGACAAAGAGGCAGAGATGAACTCAGCTGGCCCAGGCCTCCAGGTTCAAGCTAGTCCTATTTCACTGCCTCTAAAATTTTTGCTAAAATTTTTGCTAGTCCTGGAGTAAGGAGCTTTGGTAGTGGAGTGGTTACAAATCAGGCTGCGAACCACAAGGTCAGCAGTTTGAAGCTATCAGCTGTTCCGCGGGAGAAAGATGAGGCTTTCTGCTCCTGTAAAGATTTACAGCCTTGGAAACTCTGTACAGGATCGCTATGAGTCGGAACTGACTACACGGCACATAACAACAAAGTCCTGGTGTGGTGCTGTGGGTTAATGTACTGGACTACAAACTTGGTTTGAACAGCAAGGCTTGTGGTTCAAACTCACCAGCCACTCCTCAGAAACCCTATACAGGGTTGCTGTGCATCAAAACTGGCTGGATTTAACAACAAAATGTACACTATTGATTTAAATCAATACAAATTCATAAAATAGGCAGGTAACAAATGGGCATAAGACATTATGCCCATATAAAGGCCTGCTGTGGCGTTTAGGATAAGCACTGGACTGCTAACCACAAGGTTGGCAGTTCAAACCCACCAGCCTCTCCTAGGAAACCCTATACAGGGTCGTTATGAGTCGGAACTGACGTCACAATACTTAATAACAACAACAAAGCATTTTAAATTTTGCTTATAGGAACACTATGGCCCAGTTTGTAAGTTCTGCTCTAACTTAAGCATGCTTTAACGTCTAGCTCATTTCTAACCTTTCAATAAAACCTTCCCCAACACATGGAACCCACACAAACTCTCTTTTAATATACTTATAATTAGAACCCTACGGTTTAATACCTGTCTCATGCATATATTGGTCCTTCCTTCCTACCTTAAAGGCCATGATTTCTCAAAGCCAATGATTTCTTTGCAGGGTGGGGTAGAGGGAGGTAAGGGGGTAAGGAAGTAGGCTATAACCATACTTCTAGCACTGTGTCTTTAGAAGGTGCTCAGGAATGCCTCTTCCCTGGTTACAAGAGATGGAGCACAAGACCGTGCTTCTGTGACCTAATACTAGGGATAGTTCCTACCTTTGTATTACGTTAGGTGCCGTCAAGTTGGTTCCAACTCATAGTGACCCTGTATAGGGTTTCAAAGGAGCGGCAGGTAACCTTGAACCACTGAACTTGTGATTCAAGCCAACCTCGTGGTTATAACTGACCTTGCAGTCCATGACATTAACCCACAGCACCACACCAGGACTCGTTCCTATCTTACCTCCCGTAACTATGTCTTTAACCAATGGGTGGGAGGCCATGAGGAAAATAAGCACTGAGCCTCAAAGCAAACCTAAGGCACGCAAGTGGTAACCAGCAAATGCCATATAAAGCCTTAGTTTGAATCTATCCCTAACAGTTTTTGTGAGGAGTAACTATAACACCTCCTGTTACAGAAGAGCCATTTGACAAACACTCATGTCTTTCTCCCTTTACATTCCTGACCATCTACTGGTGAAACATTCAAATGGCTGGTTTAAACCAAATTATACATTACTTCTACATGAAAAGAAAAAGGAAAAAACAAAACAGCCTTTAATCCCCAACTGGTGCCTTGTTCTTTGCCAATTCCTTCAATGCACCTTGGACTTCCTCCTTCAGTATCACTGGCTCTCGATCATATGCTACCTCTTGAAACAGCTGAACATTAACCATTTCTTTTTGGTACAGTGACTCTGTGTATTCCTTCCAACTTCTCTTGATGCTTTCTGAAAGTCTCCACTTTCATTATTGAAAGATAACTATATTTAGTACTTCTGGACAATGTACTTTTAAGAATTTCTAAATTAGATTAAGCTTATCCTAGTTTCAACTTTTCTCAGTGGTACCTCTATTTAGCCTGACACTGCTAGGACACAAAATGCAGCAAACACCTTTGGGACCTGCTTCTGCTTAGTTCCTGGAAGCTGAACTTGTGGAGTGACTATAACCCTAGGCAGATGTCTCCAGGGCCCTCCCTTACCATAAAGATGTCCTCTGGAATGTCACCTTGTAGGTCTTCTGACAATAAAAGATACTCAAGCTTTCTCCGGAAAACAGCTGGGAGAAATTTCTAGAAGAATCATAAGAAGAGAATATAGAGATCAGACATATGCTGTAGTTAACAAAGTGCAAGTATATATTTCTCATCAGTTAGTCTTAGTTTTGCTATTACTCAAAGTACTCATAATCTAGATGTAATTTCAGACACTTTAAACAAAACACAGTGAAGTTTAGTTCCATACTGCTCTTAAAACCTGACATCTAAAACCCACCATATCTATCGGCCTCAAAGGTTTAATCATTTCACATGATGCTTTCCATTGCTGGACATGATCTTCTTTTGGTCCAAACCAGTTTTCTATATTTATTATCATTTGCATATCGGAGAAGAAAAGTAAAAGAGGCAGAAATCTAACATTTATTAAGCACTTAATATGTGCACTTCAGAAATGGCTGCCACAGTACACTGACAGGGAACTGCCAGAAATCCAAAGTGGATTCACACAAGAATGTGGAACAAGGGTATCATTGGTGACGTCAGATGGATCTTGGCTGAAAGCAGAGAATACCAGAAATACCTGTGCTTTATTGACTATGTAAAAGCTTTTGACTGTATGGATCACGACAAGCTATGGACAACATTGAGAAGTATGAGTATTCTGGAACACTGAATTGTGTTCATGAGGAATCTGTACATAGACCAAGAGGCAGTCCTTAAACAGACCAAGGTAAACTGAATGGTTTAAAATCAGGAAAGGTATGTTCCAGGGTTGTATTCTTTCACCATACTTATTTAATCTGCACACTGAGCAAATAATCAGAGAAACTGGATTAATTGAAAAAGAAACATGTGGCATCAGGATTGGAGGAAGACTCATTAACAACCTGTGATATGCAGATGATACAACCTTGCCTGCTGAAAGCAAAGAGCACTTCGAATACTTACGAATACTTGCACCTCAATGTAAAGAAAACAAAAATCCTCACCAATTAACTAATAAATAACATCCTTATCAATGGAGAAAAGATAGAAGTTGTCAATGACTTCATTTTGCTTGGATCCACCTTCATCATTCACGGAAGCAGCAGTCAAGAAATCAAATGATGTATTGCATTAGGCAAATCTGTTGCACAAGATCTCTTTAAAGTGTTGAAGAGCAAAGATGTCACTTTGAAGGCTAAAATGTGCCTGACCCAAGCCATGGTATTTTCAAAAGTTTAATATGCATGTGAAAGTTGGGCAATGAATAAGGAAGACCACAGAAGAATTAATGCATTTGAGTTACGGTGTTGGAGAAGAATTTTAAAGGTACCATTTTAAAGGCAGAAGAATAAATCTGTGTTGGAAGAAGTAAAACCAGAATGCTCCTTAGAAACCAAGATGACCAGATTTTGTCTCTCATACTTCAGGCATATTGTCAGGAAGGACAAGTAAGTCATTGGAGAAGAACATTATGGTTGGTAAAGTGGAGGGGTCAGCAAAAAAGAGGGAGACCTCCCCACCCCCAAACGAGATGGACTGGCACAGTGGCAGTAGCAGTGGGCTCAAGTGTAACAGCAATTGTGAGGATGGCACAGGATTGGGCAGTGTTTCATTCCATTGCACACAGGGTCAAAAATGACTCAGCAGCACCTAACAACAAAAGCAGGTATTGTGTAACATAGTTTCACTTTTTTTTTTTTTTTTTGGAAGTCCCTGGGAGGCAAAAGTGAAGGGCTTAATGAATATCTGGAAAAGTTGACAGTTTGGACCCACCCAGAGATGCCTTGGAAACCAGGCCTGGTGATGTGCTTCTAAAACGTCACAGCCTTGAAACCCTATAGAGCAGTTCTACTCTGCTCACGTGGGGTCATCAAGAGTTAGAATCAACTAGTGGCAATTAACAACAATAACCAACTTCCAATTAAACAAACTTGTGGCACAGATATATATATTTAAAAATAATCTTTATTGTTGTTGTTGCATGCCATCAAGTTGGTTCCAATTCATAGTGACCTTGTATAGGGTTTTGAAAAGTAGTTGGTTTGAAATGCTGACCAGTGAGCATTCCAGTACTTATCCTACAGCACCACTAAGGGTGAATGATTAGGAAGTATCTTCTAATTATTTCAAGCATAAAAGAAAAAAAGGAATTAAATGTTTGTTAATGAGTAATGAATGCAACTGGATGGCTGGCAGCCAAATGCCATTGAGCCGGTTCCAACTCAGAGTGTCCGTCTGCAGGGTTTCCGAGGCTGTCACTCTTTAAAGGAGCTGAAAGTCTTATCCTTCTCCCTTGGAATGGCTGATAGATTTGAACTGCTGACCTCCTAGTTAGCAGCCGAACTTGTAATCCACTATGCTACCAGGGCGAATCAACGAATGCTATTAGAAAAGACTGATGTATACAGAGAGAAAGCATCTAATTCTTTCTGTGTCAGCCAATTCCACAATAACTCCCCTTTACTGGGTCCTAAAAACTAAAATCAGTCTCCTTTTCTCCAAAAGCACATATCAATAAGATTAGAGTCTGGGCTACTCACTGACATGCTGCTTATCATAGGAAAACAAACAAACAAACTGGAAACAATTCCCATATTCATACTTGTTGTTAAGTGCCATCAAGTTGGTTCTGGCTCATAGCAACCCTATATAGCGTTTCTGAGGAATGGTTGGTAGGTTTGAACTGCCGACCTTGAGGTTAGTATTCCAGTGTTTATACTATAGATTGGTTAATAAATGGGCACATACTATAGAGAGTCTCTGGGTGGTACAAATAGTTAATGCCATTGGCTACTAACTGAAAGGTTGATGGTTCTAGTCGGTCCTGGGATACTCTGCAGCGCACATCCAGGGACTAAAAAAAAAAAAAAATCCCAACAAAACATGAAACTATGTTACACAGTTCCTGGTACGTATTAAGTGTTTAAAAAATGTTAGATTCCTGCTTTTGTGTTTCTTCTCTAACTGCTAGTTAAATGACAATAAATAACAAAAACAAAAATTTTTGGCATCCATGTGTACATGTGGAGCGAAAAATCACTGTAAGACAAAGAAGTAAGAGGCAAAAGCGGATGAAGGAAAGGAAAAATGATCTCTGGTTCAACTAGTTATTTTAAAAGAAAGCTTTTGGCAGAAGGTGGGAGACCTGGAAAAGAACAGGCAGCAAACATCTAGAAGGCAGAGGGCACAACTAAGAATGCACTTAGAGTCTTGGGAATTGTACTAGAGTCTTGGGAAGAAAGTTCATGAAAAATTCCATTATCTTTTAATTCCATTTTCCACTCACTTTTTGACACCCCCTTGTATAAACTTTTAAATTTCTCTGAGGAACTAAAACATTCCCAAACTGTTTAGATAACCAAATCCCTGGAGCTTTATGGACCAAATGATCTTTGACACTGGAAAAAACCCAAGAACTCTTAATATGTACTAAGGAGTTTGATGTGGTTGAGCAACTGTCCAGAAAATAGGTAACCAATCAGTCACAAAGTAAGCAAAGAGCTTAAATTGCGATGAAAGTTCATTTGGTTTGACACATTTCCATGTTTGTACTAGAAAGATCTTTTATAAGTAACAATACTTGATTTTCTTTTTCTTTTGTTTCCTCTGTAGACAATACTGCTCAAGTTTTCTCTTAATTGGGAAACTGAAGCCAACTCTTATTTACTCTGGGTTGGTTATCTTTCAGCTTGCTTCTCTTATTTTTCCCAACTACTCATCTTTTCAGTATCTAAGATGGCAGATCGGGTGGACGTGCAGTGAGGAGCTCCGTCAGCAACAACACAGAATACCGGACTAAGCAGGTTCAGAGAAGGGTGCTAGAACTCTATACCACATATAAAGGAATATTTAGAAGATTGCAAGGCTTACAGCTAGGGGAATTTGTAGCAGAATCAAGAAATCCATTGCTTTCTAATTCAAGATGCTCAGTTACTCCCAGAGCCTCCATCTTGGGAGAGACCAAGTGGGGGGGAAGGATCAGAGCAGCCACGACCACCTGACAGAATTGCAGATACAGGAGTGGGCATTCTTTTTTTGGTATCTGTCCATTGGTCTCTCGCTGTCTGTGCACCTCCATTCTGGTGATTAGAGGGAGCAAAGAGGGGACGCCAGAGCGAATGGACACCCCTCCCCCACCCCTGGAGGGTTCTACTAT